CGCCCGCCCAACGGTCCCAACGGACACTCGTTGAGGGGCGCCGGCACCGAAGGACACGGCACTCTTCAGCAGGGCTCAAGGGGGACCTGGTGGCTGCCCATAAACACCGCAGGGGCGTCCGCCAGAGCGCCCCGAGGGATGACCAAGGAGCAGCGGCCATACATAAACTCCTCCAAGACCGTTGTAGGCTGGACGTCAGGAAATAGCCTGCCTGGAACAGACTCCTGCGGAGGTGGTGTAAGCACCGACTCTGGGCTCTTTTAAGAAACGTGTGGACACTTGTCTTGCTTGGGATCCTTTGACCCTCTAGCTGGCTTCCTGCACCTGGGGGCCGGGTGCTGGACTCGACCATCTTCCAGCCCTAGTGGCTATGCCATCTCTAGGACACCTGCGCGAGCCCCTTGCCACCGCCTGCAGGCAGTTGCCGTACCCCCCAGCCTCCAGGGGCACGCGGCGTTCATGAAGCCTTTTATTAGACCAACAGAAATTGAAAAAAAATTAAAATATTGGCCATCGCCAACGCTGCCAGTGGCATCTGGAGGCCATTGCCACTCACCCCCGCCTGCTGCCGAAGCTGCCTGTGGCATCTGCGGGTGGTCGCTGCTCGGCGTTCGCCACCCCCCTTGCCACTGCCGCAGCCGCCTGCACGTGGTCCGCGCTTGCCACCGCCACGCCATCGGCAGCAGGTGGTCGCCATGCCCCCGCCCAGCCTCAGGAGGCACGAGGCGTTCATGTTGGTCTGAGGCAAAAAGAAATGCAGAACTCTACAACTGTTGGTTCAGAGATGATCCCGTTTATTACACCCATTTTTTTGCGATTTCTTAGTTGGTCTAATAAACGGGATCATCTCTGAACCAAGAGCTCTAGATTTTTGCATTACTTTTTGTCTCAGACCAACACGGCTACCAAATACATGGCAGGAAGCTAACAAGGTTCCTTGGGTGAATTTGATATCTTTTATTAGACCAACCCAAATGGTTGGAGAATAGTTGGAGAATGGCAGGAGGCTAGGCATTTTTGGGAAGATTTAGTGGGATTTGGAGTCATGGCAGAGCTGTGGTGTTCTGGGAATCATACTCGAGGCAAGGATTGCGCTGGGTCTTGGCCCAGCCGCCTGATTGGGATAGATGTAGGCAAGCATTGGAAGGCGAAGCCGTCTTCATCCAGTCTGTGCTTCAGTGAAACCAGCACAGTCAAGCCAAGAAAAGATTCCCACTCCCAATCCTTGCCTCTTTCAAGATTTAAATCATGTATATGAGTTCAGCCTCTGCACAAGAGGGTCTGGCCAAGAGGGGTGCCAGGTGGGGCAGTAGCACATGGAGCACAACTTCTTCAGACTTACCTCCAGTCAGCAGGACACAAACGGCAGCTGATCAGTGGCTGCTGTCAAATAAATCTCTCCCGTTTGCCAAAAGCACGTTCATTTGTTTTGTTCCTTGCAACTGAAAGGCTATTTTCGGAGGCATGGGTCCATAAATATCCACAATGAGCAGGTATAATTGTCAGGGAGATTAAAAATAACCCCAGCACAAGGGAAAGGAGTGAGATCCCCAGTGTCAAATGTATCTTGAAGAATAGCCATTCTACAGGCATTGTATGCAAAAACAAATTATTAATTTTTTGTTAACTGTAACCAGGGTGGTAGCTTGTGGGAACCTGTTGTTACCAGGACCACAGTATTTGCCGTTGCACGTCAGGCACCACAGTCAATCTGTCTTCTAGTGATTATGACTTCAGTTCCAAAGCAGTTTGAGAGTATTTCTGGCAATTGCATTAACTGATTATGTAGCAAACTTGTGAATATGTGAAAGCCACAAGCATAAAAAAAAAGGTTATTACAGTTGTTTTTCATCTTTCATAGCTGAAAATTGTTAAAGTGATATCAAAATTGCCTAGGTTTTTGGTCTAATAAAAGATATCACATCTACCCAAAGAACCTTGCCTGTCTGTGTCCTTAGACCAACACGGCTACAACCAAAAACCCATAAAAAATTATCTACGCACATAGCAAATATGTGCCTTGAGCAAGGGGCTGGATTAGAGGACCCTTCCAGCCCTACTTTCCTATGGTCCTGTGACATGGAAATTATATGTTCTCATTTTATTCAGTGTGCATCTTGCAGTCTTTCTAACATATCATGTATTTTTCTAAAACTGTCAGATAAGTTTGAAAAGTAAAGTAATAATGGCTTTTTGTGGTATGGTGACAGTTTACAGCTACAGTTGATGATTTCATTTTTTTCCTTTTTCCTTTTTTTTCTCCCAAAGTTTGTGGGTACTGCATCATCGGTGACTGAGTCACAGGCCTCAAGAGAATTCAGGCACATTGTAAGTATCCAAAAATGAGTTGGAAAGTACGTTCCTGATCACTAGTAAGTCATGGGAGACTGGGGTTTTCGATGTGCTGTTGCTCAGCCAATCTGCATGTATTGCATACAATATAAATTCTGTTCTAAACCTTATCACCACACTCAGACCAGCTGGCTGATCATCGTCATATTACATAATAATATGTAGCTATTCAGAGTAATAATAAGCAATCAAGGCTTTCCAAGAAGAAAAAAATCAAACAGTGCATGCTCCCTCCCTTCGTTTTAATTTGGACTCTCTCAAAAAATGCATTTCTTAGTCCAGTTTAACAGCATATGGAAAATATCTGAGAATGATAACCTGTTCTCGTTCATATTATTATGTTACAGTTACTAGATGCTCTTGATTCACCTTGGCAGTCCCCATGTGTTTTTCATCATTTGTCTAATTGCAAAAGAACACTAATTAAAATTAAATAGAGTACAACTTTGTACTCAGGATACATAGTCAAATTTTGATACTACAGGTCAAGTTAGCTTTTTCTTTTTGCTCTGTTATTAAATGAAGAGGTTATGGATCTAAGCCATGTGACATTTGTTTCTGGAAGGGAAGATGAAAACAATTCTTATTAACCTCCAATATGGAACATATGGTAATCGTGGGTGATGTGGCCAAGTTAGGCAGCCAAAAGCCTGCCCTTTATTCATGATGATAAGACAGAAGAGTGGGCAATTGCTACACAAAGTAGCAACACCATCACCTTACTTTTGTCCAGAAAGGACAATCTAACTACAGTTCTCTCTCTTGTAAAGGCGTGATCTGTGGGTGGCACATTTGACTCTGACATGATATGTTTTCAGTACTTCATTAAGCAAGTACTAAACTAAATGCACCATAACTACTGCACGTTAATGAATGTGTAGACACGCTCCCTGTGAGTTAAATTTTAGAATGGATTGTTCCTGTACCACAAGGTTAGCTGAAAACAATAACAGTTTGGAGCTGAAAAACTTAAGTGTTCAGCATGTTGTCAGGTACAAGATGAGTTTTCAAGGTGTCCTGCAAAAAACAAAGATGCTTGTATCCTTTATAGGCTTTTGTATGGTGTATAGGAAAAGATTAGGATGATTTAGTTGCCAAAAAAGTGTGTGTGTGGGGAGGGGGGGTTGCTTTATTTTAGCCTGAGCAATAAAAGTATCAAGTTTTTTCTTTCCTGATTTTACTGGTGAATAAGAGGAAGAGCTTTCTCAGCTTCTAAGTAGAGGGGTTGGTATCAAAACTTTCACAAAGACATTTTTTCCCCCAAAAAAGTTTGTCAAGAGCTTGTCTGGTATCTTAAGCTGATGTGACCAAACTTATAAACTAACAACCAAATTCTTTGCTGCATCAAGATTCAGCATAACGGCAGTCCATTAAAGGCTTCACTCTCCTGTTGGTCTTAGTCTCAGTGTAGGTTTGGGCAGCCTGGGATGAAGTTGCTTGAGGACTGTATGCCTAGTAGGGATAATGAGAGCATTGTATGATCTCCTCTCTCTGTGGTTGGGAGTGGGATGCTGGTAGCCCAGAAGCTGGTGTGCTGAGAGTTCCCCTTGTGCCAGGGAAATTCTCAACAGAGCAGATCTGCCTCCTTTGTTCTTCCAGAGTAGCACAAAGGGACCAGAATCTGCCCCAAGAAATGTTAAACAGTCTGACTGTATGTTCCTTACTCCTGTACATGGCTCAAGATTCATCCCTGGCATGTGTGCTATTAAAGTCCTACCAGTAGCTCAGTGGCCTGTGGTGTCTTGCTCAACACACACCGTAGGCAAGACATCGTGTTTGAAAGTAAGTTATCTCTCTCCACCCTCTAAAAACAAGAAATCAACCCTCCACCTTTCAAGCTTTCTTCACTCATCACATAGGAGCAGAAAAAGGGCACAAACATGATTTTATTTCTTTCCAGGTCACCTTTAATGTGTACCTTTAAAAAAGCCTTCTTTTAATATCCAACCTTCAGAGACCCTTTACATAACAAATTAGGTTTATAATGGCATATATGGAAAACTATGTTAGTAAAACTGACATTTACACTCTGATACTTATCATCCCTACTTAAAGAGTTAATGAGGTGTGTGGCATATTTATCAACAAATTTGTAGCCAAATGGTTAAAGTAGGAAACTCCAGATGACAAGGATGTAATTACATGTCAGAGGTAATGAAAAAAGCCTTTTTTAACATTATCCACATCCTGACCTGGTGGTCAAAACGCTAATGTCTGTCTTGAATAAAAAGCAGAAGTACAAGTGCAGTATAGTGTAGCAGGATTTGAGCAGGCCTTGGGGAGGTGACCTGAATTGTATGGAAGTGCACGAAGAAGTACTTCTTTTTAACTGTGAAAGAAAAATTCTAGCACATTGGCATGTAGCAAATATTTGAGAACATCAGGGAGTATTTGGAGGTGCTTTAATATACCTATGTGATATATTTTTATACTATTCTGATGAACATCACAGGACTAGACAGATTGTCTTTCTGAAGTGATCCGTTTAAAAGCAGAGGCCTCTGCAACAAACAACAGGGCATTCTGGAAGCTAAATTTGTGTGTTTGTGGTCAAATGGAGCCAGTGTCAAAGCAAGTATCACCAAGCATTTTGCACATAGAAGATGCGATTCTCATCTTAATAGGGAGCTCTGTTATTGAATTTGACCAGCTTAAGTCAATAACAGCATTGCATATATTTCTAATATACTGTTGTATAGCATTCAAACTCTTTATACAGTACTGAGTTTACATATCTTACTAACATGAGATGAACGCATAAAAAAACTTACTTCACAAAAATACACAAATATAGTAAATGTTTTCCATAAGCAAGGCAAATATTCCTAATTCTTGTTATGCCTCTCAAAACTCAGTGAGACAATCACTCCTCTACATAACTGAACTGACTTAATTGGCTGAGAACAAGGACGGCAACTGAATTAACTAAATACAATGAGAAGACCCTTGTTTACAAGTTATTTCAAGCTCCAGTTCACTTTCTGGGTTCAGTCTCTGATCAACTGCAATTACTACTTTTTCCAGCTGAGAAATTTATTTGAAAACTGAGTCCAGAATTTCAAGTCTTTTGGCATGATACCTTCAGTCACCACTGCTTTTAATGTCATCATACCACAATAAATATTATCTTAGGACATTCCTATGCATCTGTGTCTGGAAAGTTGTTCCTTTCTAAGACTCCAAGGCAACTCTTAAGAACTCATGTCAATAGATGATGTTGAATTACCTCTATGCTTCCTAGAACAAAGTATTTCAGATCCTCCCTCCTGCATCTAGCTTTCATTCCAAATCTAGTCCTAAAAAAAAGCACATTTTCTGTTACTATTTACATTTGCAAAATTTAGCATGGTAATCAACTAAGCAATATTCACAAGTGTTCCTAAGTAGTTTCATCTGACATAGATGTGAGCTTCCAATGTCTTTCACAGGCTTTAGGGTACCAAACTTGCCCCTTATTTGCTTTTCGGCGTTATAACACAGAAACAAAGATGCTTGTTCCCTTGGCTGGGGACATTTATACAAATCTTTCCCACCATAGCTGGCGGCTGATCACTACCAACGCAACAGTATTTGGAATCCAGTAGGAGAGCTGATGTGTTTCTTTGTTCCCAGCATTGCCCTCCAAATAAAAGAGCTGATCTTTTCTCCTCTGCCGTCAACAGGAGTTTTGACATAGACTTCTATGGGAGCAGGTTTGGTCCCGTAACTTGAAGCCTGACCACATATCCACACCAGTCATCAAAGCATGTTTCCTCCCCATGCTTCTTACATTGATTCTCCTTGGAAGATAATTGGTTTCCTAGTGCTTTCTAATGGAGAAAGTTGTTTTCAAAGCAGAGACCTCGTAGAGTCAAGAGCAAATAAAATGTTAATTTTCTCTTCCCAAAGTAAAGAATTTCAAAGCAGCATTCTGGTGCTGGGAGAGGCGCATCACAGCCACTGATTTTATTGCTAAGTCCCGTGGTAGAGACTGGAGCCTTGTTGTAGTGACATAATCACTCCTCACACCATAAGTAAGTGTTATGTGTAAGTACCAAATTGAATAATAGTAAACTATGCATGATCTTTAAAGTTTCCGTATTTGAGACAAACAGCATCTTAACAACAAACCAAACAAGATGAGATTTTACTTTTGAATCAATGCTGTGAACTTGGATAGTTTCTTAGTTTATGCAGTTGTAAAATTGCCTTTTAAGCCATTTTGTTTAGCACAGGGATGCTTTGAAATAATATATGAGATACAAAAGGGAGTTCTAGCCACATTCACACACAGAAGAAAACACCTCACACAGGGTAATTAACTGCTGAGACAAGGGGCCAAAATCTTCTCTTAAATAAGTGTTATCTGGAGGTGCTCCACTGTCTCCTGCAGTGTTTCTGGCACAGATAAAAATACAGTCTGGCCAACGGAGCATTGTTTCAACCGTCAGATTCTTTTCTCAAGGGCTGGGCTCCCCTGGGGAATTTTGCTATGGAGTAGCTCTAACAATGTAATTGCAGCACCACAATCCCCTACAATGCACATGATGCTCTGGTGTAAAAATTGTATTGCACCAGTATGACTTATTCAGAAACCTGCAAAAATTTCCAGTATAGGCAACCCCTTGTACAGCCTTGAGGGGTTTCGGATTTCCACTCTTAGCCCATAACTATATTATCATTTTATTTTGACAATGACGTCTAGAATATAGAATATATTACTCAAACAAAACAGTCTGTCCTATAATAAAACAGGATTGTGGACTCAGCTGGGACCTCTACTGTACTGTATAGCACTGTAGTACTGTAATAAAAATGTGTGGCCAGCTGATACTCATATTAAAAAAGGAGGACAGACAGGTCTTTCAATATTTTCTGTGAAGATGGAGGAAGAAAGTATTGCATATTTTAAAAGTAGAGAAAGGTCAATTAATTAGACTGAAATAGATGTTTTCCATAAATATAACAACAGGGTGTAGCTACCATCAGTACATGCATCACTAGCCACTGCTAGTGTTTTTTAAAATGTGATTGTGATCCCCTTATCAGGGCAGTTTTCTATATAGCTATGCAGGCATGCATTCTGTATCAGACCTCCCCCCCTCCTCTGGCACTGCAATACGTAGGAAGCTATTATTCCCAAATGAAGCATTTGCTTGCTGACATCACATGCAGTAGAATCCTTTTGTTTGCCTGTGTCTCCTGCATTGAAATGTTTGTCTGAGTCACAAGCGCCGCCGTCTTTCTTCCTGTGTCACTCCTGCTGGAAAGCTCTCCCTGACTCATGGATTTTAAATTTCGACAAAGCCCAATTCTCAGAATGGCAATTGAATTTTTTTCCCCTGGAATATTTTATTATGCAAATTATATCTAAACACTATAATGATCCAAAAATCACTGCCACTCTTTTTTTGGCATTTTAAATAGAGAGGTTTTATGACTCATATTCCACACTGAATTTTGTTTCAAGGCAAAGTCAATTTTAGTGTGAATTACCAAATTAAAAATTAGAGATGCTGACTCCCACATTAGTCTGCTGGCTAGGTTTTCCCAGCTATACTGATATCAATTTCTGTGCTGCAAAGGGAGTGTGTGTGTGTGTGTGTGTGTGTGTGTGTGTGTGTGTGTGTGTGTAAAAGACATACAGTGGCCTTTGTTGAGGGAAATATTTGCTCTTGTATATAAACCTCCTAAAATGTACCCAGATACTATGACTATTGATACTCAAAAGACTGGCAATAATTAATATTTTGAATTTTGAAAATGAGATATTCTTCCCTTGCATTATAATCTTACTACAGGTTTGTTTTCTGTGAAAGAGAACAGATCCTTGCTGGTTATTCTCAGTAGGCAGAGCTGTTTCTTTCATTTGGTTTATATTTTAGAGCTGCTAATATATTCCTGGCTTCTGAGAAACCCATCTCTCTTCTAAATTAAATTAGCACCACAAACAAAACAGGCCCTGATATTGTAATTAGAATTTCCATACTAAATTCTGTATTTGAAAAAGGGCAGCATGGAAGCTGAAGGTTGTCTAGCCACATAGTTGAGATGTGTGACAAAGAAGGGTTCCTATTCACCAAGAGAGATTGTAGACATTGCCAGACTGGACTAGATCTTATATCAATCTAGTCCAGTGTCCTGTCTCTGCAGTGGCCAGTAACAGATAAATGGGATGTTGATTACAGTGCTCCAGTTCTTTGGTCCAGGACTCCCCACTGCCTAATGGCCAAAGACCTGATTCAGCAAAGCACATAAACATATGCTTAACTTTCTAAACACAAGCATAAGTCTCACTGAATTCGTCCCTGGCTTGAAGCATGTAAGCAAACTGCTACATCGAGCCCTTTGGAAATTCAGCGCACACAGAAAAAGGGAAAATCATGACCTGTCATTAGATATCCCATAGTAGATGCCATTGTTTCCCTGAGGGAGTAGGAGGTTCTTTTGTGCTCAGAGTAGGACTGGTGTTATAACATTCACTACCCAAATAAAAACCCCCCTTTTGTAGAAAACATTTTCAATTTTTATTAAAAAAAGCCAATGGCACATTAAAACTAAACATCTGAGCAAGCATGGATGTTCTGGCTTTAATATGAGAATAATTTGTGAAGCAACAATTTTGGTTAAAAACTAGTCTCTTGGGTGCCTGGGGGTTGGTCCCAAGTTTGCAGTATAAACATTTCCATACATAACATTTTTAGCGAAGTTTAACTTCTGAAGTGCTACTGTTTGTCCTCTTCTATCCGTGGCCGTTTGCGAGGGTTCATTTCAGATCCTTCAGGGGTTTGGCTTGGAGGTGGAGGCTGCACATCCCGAAAGCCATGAGGCTGCAAAAAAAACAAACAAAAACTGGTGGAGGTCCAATTGTGATCTCACTTACCCTGGTATAAACAGGTACAAATGGATCAGAATCAGGTCTGCTCTTGCAATTTATTTTAGAGACATGGCTTAAAATGTTTCTAATTCAGGCTGCGCTCAGAATTCTAAAGGAAGCTCTTCCTTGCACAGGCTAGCTAATAAGCTCTCGCTCCTCATTTTATTTTTAAAGATATTTTCCCATCCCCAATCAGGCCAGCATTTTCATTTTGTTACTAATAGGCCCTATGGCTATGGAGCACACTGCTTCTCTAAATTAATTTATGCTGCCTATTTCAACAAATTAAAGGCCAAATCCTCCAGCCCTCACTTAAGCAAGAAGCGAGGGGCAAAAACTGCAGGCTGCAGAGTGAGAGTTGCATTTGAATGCTAACAAGAGAATGTTTAAAACTTGGGGCAAAACTGTTTGTTTAGTTTTATTTGATCACTGCAATGGGATGCTGTACAGTTAGCAAAGGGTGGGTCTGAATCTAGTTCATGAGATTTTTCAGATTGTCACTGTAGAAGCAAGAGCACTCCTGGCCAACAATAGTGGTTCATGGAGCATGCTAGGAGGTACCTCAATCTGCTAAAGAACAAGCGTGGGTCAAATGCAGAAGTGACCTAAGCTAGACACAGGCACAAAGTAGAGAGCTGAAAAGGATGCAATTGTTTGGTATCAGCACCATGGCATCTGCTCATGGTTCAGAATTTGTTTTTGTTAAGTTTGTACCTATCAAGGTATAATTACGATGCAGGCATCTGGAAAAATGGAATCTTATGCCTTGTGAAGTGACGGCCCTCACTTTTGTTCTGTCTTTGTACCTCCTAACTACTCATGTTGTGCTGGGAGCATCTCATATTGACCTCTCTGGAGAATGAAGGAGCTGTGTTGACAGTTCACAAAAGGAATCTCATGGAAGGACTGTAGCTACAATGCAAGGGCCTCAAAAAGAGAAAGGGGCTAATCAGAAGAAAAACTCCTTGTGGGGACCCTGAATGCTCAAGCAGAGACTGGGCGGGGGGGTGTGACAGTATTTCAGAAGAGCTGACATTTCCAGTTGATGCAGTGTGAAAAAGCAGGAATTACTATCAAGTGTGTGACTCCGTGAGATGCCAGTAAATCCTATGTGCAAGACCAATCCAAGATGAAATGAAACCGGTAAACATGCTTTGACTGATCTCCAATTGCTGTATTTCTAATCTATTTCTAAAAGTCTCACCTCATGTGGTCTACTATTTTGAGTTTTTAAAAAAAGGAACAAACAGCAAGAGATGCCACAAGGACAGAACTTATACAGCCCTTCTGCTATTTTAAGCAGCTCAAGTATTATTCTAAATTGTATAATGGGGAATCTTAAAATTTACTATTTCACTGCTGCTTGCATCTGATCTCTGCCATTTCCCTTTGGCACAAAAGTGGATCTGCAGCCAAGAATCCACTTAATCCAACACGCTAGGAATTCTGGTAGTTGTGTAAGCAGTATTGAGATAAAAGTATGCAGTTCCATATGGATTTTTTGCTTCACTGTCTTTTGACCTCATACTTTTCAGTCCCCATTAACGGGCAAAAGGGACTCAGCCTTCAAAAGGTTGCTTGGACACTCAAAAATCAGAATGGCCAGTGATCACCGAAGTGATCACTCTTTAATCCATCCCTGTTCTATAGCAAAGTATATAAAAAAAAAAATCAACAGAGAGGTATTATAAATCAGTTGAATGTTGCTCAGGTCTCAGATGCATACGGCTTCTATGTTTACAGAATTTAAACTGGCTGCAAAAAATGACAAGTTTTGTATTGCCATCTCCCACTGTTGAACTACCAGTTGATAAAAACTGGGAAGGTTGGGGGAACATTATAATCTATTTATCCATTACACTGAAATTCACAGTATTTAGCACTTACTGTGCTTTACATGTTAAATATTATGTAATGAATCCACAAAACCTCTGTAAGCCAGTTAAGTCATTTTATCCCCATTTCACAGGTAAGAAAACTACAGAGGTAGAGATGTAAACTGACTTGCCAGTGTGCCAAAGGGGAGTCCTGTCAAAAGAGCAAAGAGTCTTGGTTACTAAATCCCATGTAAAACATGGAAGAGACAGATCCTCAAAGATATTTAGGTTTCTAACTCCTCTAGAAATCAGTGGGCATACATACATAAGAACTTCTGAAGATCTGGACCCAAGACCAGATTTTTTATTCCTGGGTAAAGATATGTTGGATCATATTTTGCAGCACTGAATGGATATTTACAAGTGCCAGTCTGACTACTAAGGCGATAATAAGGAATGGTCACATTGGACAGCTACTGTCAAATCTGATTTTCATGGAAGAAATAACTGCGTATTCTGTATTTGCATTGAAACAGGACTAAGGCTCAACACTTGGGTAATTTAAAACTGCAACTAATCTCTGATTAGAGTGTATTCAAACCTGTATTTTGAGATTGTATGGAGGAATGTTACAAAATCAAACTGGAAGAAAAAAGTAATTAGAACCTTCTGTAGGACTAAAGTGTATATTGTACACACTTCTTCTACCAAGGTTTGTACATTAAGACCTGAACAAAAGTCTTGGATTTCTGTTCAGGAGTCTGAAAACCTCAGATATTATGGGCAGCATAAAATCCGCAAGAAATGCTATGGCAACATGTTTCCATGAGCACACATGGCAAACAGTTATTACATGTAACTGCATAAGTGACACTTGAAGCGATGAGTTGAGAATGGCTTTTATCCAAAGAGAACTTAGGTAATAATGCCTAGTATTGACACATAAATCACTTGTGCTCCACAATGTGCAGCACCCATCTTCACAAAAAGGAATACTGCAGTGTTCACATAGGGGCTGAAACTAAAAATTTCTGCTAAAAGCTGAAAACGACAGAGGAACAGGAAGACTGTGAGCCACCCATGTGAGTAAGCTGTGAAAATGGTAAATCTGACCTTGGGATAGATTAAAGAAAGTATTTCCAGAAGATGGAGAGAAACCTGAATGCCATTATACAGGAGACTGGTGAGACTTCTTCTAGAATACCATTTACAGTTCTGGTCATCCACGGTCAAGAAAGATGAATTTAAACTAGAGCAGTGAAGGGCTAATCATATGATCAGGAAAATGAACCAGGAGGAAACTAAGAAGGCTGACTTGTTTAACCTAATAAAGGCTGAGAAGCAGGATAACTGCATTTTATCAAGACACTGGGATCAGAAGTAAGCATCAGAAAGGACAGAATTAGTAAAAGCTAAAGGACAACATTGACACAGGAGCAAATGGATATAGAGTTACTATGAATATATTTAGGCTGGAAAGTTTTAACAATCAAAGGAGTGAGGTTCTGGAACAGTGTCCCAAGAAGAGAGTAGTTAAGGTCAAAAAACCTAACTAGTTTTAAGATGCAGAAAAGTCTCTTCCAGTCCTATGTTCCTAATATGTAATTTTACACTGGTATGACTAACTATTTCTGTTATTGGGTTCCAAACACAACTTTCCAGAAGACCAAACTGGCCTCCTTGGAGCTAAAAACACATCTGTGAACGCTTCTTCTGGCTAAATCTCTCCTCCCGCCTCCAAAGTCCTCCCACAAATTCAATACTAACGGTAATGCAGTATGGTACCGTTGACTCCTTCTGACTCGGCGATTTGTATAACGTTGCCAACCTGATGAAACAAAACAGGTCTCATTAACACTATTAAACCTTTAGCACAGTACATTTACCAAGCTTCCAAAGGACACAGTTATAGCCTAGGTCACCAGTGAGATTCTTACACAGTTCAGTCAATGGGTAATGTTAACATCTACAATTAAATGATTTTTTTTTCTTATTTCCCCATAGTATGGTTGGGATTAACTCTGCACTTTGTAATGGAGTAATGGATTAAAAGATGCCTTTCTTGAAGCATAAACAAAAATGTTGCCCAAGTATAAGGTGAACTCTAGGGACAGATTTTCAAAATAGGACAGCATCCAGGTGAAGTGCCCAGACTTCCCAGACCATTCAGAAGACCTTCTTGTGCTCAGCGGATGCTGCTGGGTCTAAACAGCTTTCAAATCCAGCTACACCTTAGAAGTCTGCCCAGTGATGTACAATAACTAGAAGAATTCTCATGGACCATCAGTTATAACATCACTCCAACCCTACCCACAGGGCACTAACTTCTCCCAAACTTGTGAAAACTATGATACATACAAGGTCCCCATTCTTCTCCTTCCCTTGGCCTTATTCTCCCCGTTGTCAGTTTAGACTGCAATCTCTTTGGAGCACAGATCTTGCCTCCCACTCAAATAATCATCACATACTTCACTTCAAAAAGGCATTTGGAGTACAACTCTGCTCTAGTCCATTAAGCAACAGATTTTTTTGTTGATCCTTTGAGTGCTGGTTACAGGTTTCCAGCCAGTAGAGAAAATACAGCTCTGAAGGAGCAATTAGAGAGGCAGCCCTCATATTTCTCAGGTCTGTGAATGTAGTATAGTGATTAGGGATGTATTTGGTATATAGTGATTAGGGCACAGGAGACCTGCCCTCTATTTCTGGCCCTGCCACTGACCTGAGAGGTATCCGTGGGCAAATCACCTCCCCTGTATCTTTTCTACCTATTTGTCAGTCTTCTCTATTTGAATGCTAAGTTCTGAAGCAGTGGCTCTCTGACATGTCTGTATAGTGCCTGACATGGGGGGCCTCTAGGTGCTACTGTAATACAAATCAATAACCAGAAAACAGCTAAATATCACAATTTCCCCCTCTCCCAACCACCCCAGGGCTGCTGCCAGGCTCCATGCACACACCTCCATATTCACACCTTTCCCTGAGAAACTGACAGGGCAAACGTTCTGCCTTGAACAATCTGTCACTTTCTGCACTGAGATACCCTGCCAAGGATCCTGTTAATTATTTTAGGGGTGTTTTTCTCCCTGAGGTGCCATTCTATTAGAGAGCACGTAATTACAGCCCGAGGAAGATTGCTACTTCATATGAGCTACATAGGGAATTCCTTAGAACATTTAAGTGGTGTGTTGTACTTTACAGAATAGCCTCAATCTCAAGCAGCAGAAGCCATGCTTTTATAGGCGCTCGGCTGGAGTTTTGCTGCGTGCCTTTGAATCAACCGGGTTTGTTCTCGCAGCAACAAGGCCCATTGTAATTAAGCACTGACAAATTTCCAGGACTGGAGGAAGGTAAAGAGAGAGGTAGGTATCATGTTTAGCCAAAGCATAATGAACAAGGCAGGCAGACTCTCAAACAGTCACATGAGCTCCTCAGTAATAGCCTATATAAACAGTGATATAGCAAAACCTGCATGGATCATTGGTTGTAGTTAGGCCATTCATATATACAGGAGAATCAGGATATTTTGTCTTGTTGGACTTTAACGTTCTGTCTAAAATAGTCTACTGCATTCAGACCTACTCTAGCTTTGCAGGTCTTGTTCCACAAAGTCAAGGAGGAATGTTGTTTTATGCAAATTTACCCCTTTTGCTTTTTCTCTGCTAATTACGCTTCAGCCTTTCCAGCATGGTCCTGAAGGAAGAAGGTCCTCACTTTATTTGCTGTGTGCATTTACAAATTAACTTATTTTTTTCTACAATCCACATGTTGATGCCACTTTCCTCTTTGTAACAGCTTTTCTAAAATAACTCCTAAGCAAGGAACCTGCTACAGATGCTCTGCCTGCCTCACTCAGATAAGAACAAAGCAGAGAAGCAAGGGAGGGAAAAAAAGTGGGAGCCTCCAAAACAAAGTCATGTTTAGCAAATAAGCTGAAACTGTTCAGCCTTGCTCCATGGAGCCTAGAAGGTTCCCCTACACAGACCCACTGTGAGAGAAGGAGGAAGAAAGAAAACTGTTTCAAGGGGGATTGCTTCCCTCCATCCCCACCTCCTCTACTAAGCTTGGCACTCTCATCATTTAGTGTTTTTAGGGGTCCGTCCAATTTTTTGTTAGGGAAGTCCTGCATTAGGGAGCAGAAATGTCCAACAGAAGGGACTAAGGGTCAGATTATTTGGGTTCTATCATCACACAAGTCACTACACAAGAGGAAAGTCTTCATTGACCTCTACAGTCTTTGTATCAGGTGCTTAGCCACTTGCCTACGGTTTCACTAAAACACAAAAAGGTTTGTTTTTCCCCTACCTCCAAAGTGGGGAGAGTAAAACTGATTTGTTGAGCTCTGAGGCCCATGGGTGAAGATAGCCAAAAGTACTGGTTTTTTTGTTTTCTTTTTGTCATCCAACAGTCTCCAAATTCCTTGTGTCTGAAAAGCTGCTGTGAGGCTGTGACATGCTGACCACAATGAAGGAAAGAGTCTGTGATCCAGACGATCAGCTTACCTAAGGGCTGAACTACAGCATAGTGTTTTGCCCTACCTGTCCAGGTATAGGGCAAGACATGGAATCAAAGTCAAGTCTGAAGTCAACTTGAAATAGAGGTTATGGGTATCTAACATGGTTACTATAGAGCTATTTGCCCTGAATTTTATTCTGTAATAAAGAGTGGACACATGACCAGCTCTCCCAAGCTAGCTACCTGCAGAAGGTGTTATTACAGAGCCTGGTTCTGTAGCAGCCAGGTAGCAGGCAGACAGTTTATAATGAGCTACTCTTGAGATAGAAACAATTAAAGGAGTGGGCACATCTATACAAGGTGTTTAATGTGGAGCTAATTTGCTCCACAGTAAAATGTCACCGTCTATATGTTCAGTGCTATTGGGACAGAGCAAACTAATTAACTCCCACTGTAGGATACAAGTAGTATCATATGGTGGAGTTATTTACTCTGCCACAATGCACGTGTAGATGCTCACAGGCTTGCCTGGGGCACAAGAGCAAATGGATATGGGGCTGCCAGCTAGCTAGCCCCTCAATGAAGCGCCCTTGTGCCCCAGCCAGCCCCTCCACATGCTGAGCTGGGTTGGAGCAGCCCTGGGCTGGCAGACTGACCCCTGGGGCCCCCTACTAGCCAGGGCTGCTGCATCCCAGCTCAACATGCTGCAGTCCCAGGCACATGTGCAAACACAGCACACCCAGGAGCAATAAACTCCGGCACCAGAGTTTATTTAGCAGCATTAATCGCATGTGTAGATGTGCCCAGTTACTCTTCACTTTTTGAGGGGTATCTTTATCTCAGAGTAGAATGACTTACACAAGTATAAGGCTGCTTGACATGTATCTGCCCCACTTTTAATATAGAGTTAATGTACTCCACAGTACATGTGTACTTGCACCCGAATCTCAGCTAACAGGAGCCCTTTCTAAATACCGCATGCTGACCTGAATTTTCACTTACCTCTGATTGTTGTCCCAGTGCAAGATTAAACGGATGGTAGCAGCATGTCCCCAGCTTTCCCCTGGGGGACATACATGCAAAAGAAAAGTTATTTTATTGTTTCTTTTAAACACGCTAGTATCAATGGATTTAACTTCCAGAAAAAAAATCAGTCCTCCTCTAAGATGATAAAACACACAAACAAAAGAAATGTAACTTGGTGCCCCCAGAAATACATCTGGAAGGACTTCACAACCCTTTATCAGTTTATGGAAGTGCCAAGGAATTTATTCCCTTCCCTGGAAGGGAATAAATTAAACTTGCTTAAACAAAGCATAAGTTTGAAGTGATGCTTTCACATTCATAGAATGTGTGTGTGTGTGTGTGTGTGTGTGTATATATATTTAGCTAGATGGACAGTAGCAACAGCATTAAAATAATATGGCTCACATAATAAGAGTTTTCCCATCTCTACAGAGAAAAGTATAGAGGGCATCCCTGCATCCAAGTGCAAGGGTGCTGCTATGCTCTGGCTCTGCTTTTGTCTCCAAGCATGCAGACGTTGCTAGCTTTCCCCAGGAGCCTGGGCCTCAAGAAGGAAAATTCATCATTACCGAAGTACTGACAGGCCACAAGCAAATTTTGAGAGATACCTGTTCAAGGATCAGACTGCTCAGAAACTGGGACAGTTATACCATGCCACACAAAGCAATTCCAATGTTTCATTTCACGTCTGACCACAAGCAGCAACATCATTTAATTTAAAAACAGCTCTATCCAGATTTTTTCCTCAGCCTATCCCACGAGACATTCTGTAGTCACAAGATGGATAGGATGTTAAAGCATTCATCTGGCTAAGTGCAGCAAGCATCTCCTATTCATCTCCAAGCAACTCTACAACTTCCAGGTCAGTATATTTGTCAGTCTCCGACATGCCACCAACCCCACCCACTTCCATCTTCATTACTGTACACAGCCAGAAAAGCAATACAACTCTGATGAAAGATCCTCAAATTAAAAAAAGCTTTGTACGCCTAGACCCTTGAGGCATCTTGCCAGATTCCACTCCATCGTATTTACACTAAGCTGGGATTTAAGGTGCTGTTTTGGAGGTGGTTGAGAGCCAAAGATCACAATATGAATTTTAAAACGGAAATTTATTCCCTTTTGTAACAGTGTATCCAAGCACACTTACAAGAAAAAAAGTGTTGTTGCAAAATGAGAGGCTTTTGACTTAGACTGGTTGCAAATAAATATTTGACCTAATTGCTAAATATACCAAGTAAAAATGTCTAGGAACACCCAGCTTAGCTCTCAGCAGTAGAGAAAGCTGTCCTGTTCCCATAAAGCTCTTCTCTTAATACCTTGCAGCATCTGGGTTTTGGCATAATTAAGGGCTTCCCTTCCACTGGAAAGCTGAGTAAGAGTTTAGGGATTAATGCTCTTGTGAAATCTTAAGAGAGCCTGTTTCTCGGACCCACTAAAAAAATCAATGAAAAAATGTTTGGTGGGGGAGGCAAAGGAACTGACAAATACTGACAGAGCAGCTGGCAAGAAAACCCAGCTGTCTGGAAATGCAAATAAATCAAATGCCATCTTTGCTCAGGGATTTGCCACTGAGCCATCATTTAATAGTCCCTTTGGCTACAACTAACAGCACGGGGGAGAGATACACTAGCTTCATTACGAGACGGTTGCAGTAACCCTTGCCTTCCAGAATAGACCTTAAAATCACCCTAATAATACTCCTAACAACACTAAAAATAGCTAGGTGTCCAGGATTGAGCACACGTCACGTTGCACACAGCCCTGCACTGCTTTGGTATGTTCAACCTTGGAGAAATGGCTGCATACAATTAAACTTGGATGAGTGGGGCATCTCTCAGCCTGAATATTTCACCAGCTGGGAACAAACCTTGATCATAGCAAGAAAAAAGACTGTTTGGCTAACAAATGTATGGCTACATGCAACTAGTTTAGACCAAAGTCCTCTACAGTGGATAGGTATTATCCTGCTGTCCAGAATTGTGTGCAATACAGACTGTAACAGCTTGAGACCATCACCTATATGGATGGAATCCTTTCACATTCTTCACTGTCTCTATGACCCTGTAAGCGGAGAAGCATTTAAATACAGACTATTTAAAACAAGATAGACTCTATTGACTTTAATTCACTTTGTAGCCAGAAAAGCTGCCAATAATAATGAATCCAGCAGAGAGCAGGAGGTAAAGATGACAAAGGGTCAAATACTGAAAGCAAGGACTTCATCTGCATGTACAGTTCAAAATGCAGCATTCTCCAAGGAGACGCCTTGTATTTGTTCATTTTATCTTACATCTGTGCCAAATGGTTCAATGACTGAACAGACATTGGGAACATCTTTGCCTTTGTACTTCCCCCTTCCCAGCATAATCAAGGGAATCATTACTTGGTTCACAGAAACTGAAGCTCTATGCAGAGAACATTTCCCCTCCAATTACAATATGAACTAATAAGTTACAACATAAACCAAGACAAGACATGTAAAGATTAATTTGGCCAGTTCAAGCAAATTGCTCCCGTCTGCCCTGTAGGCAGATCAGAAAGGCCCATACAGATTACAGTGCTTCCAGGAGAGACTAGAGCAATCTGTTTACCCTATTTATGGATAGCCTGTAGCAGACGGCCTCGTACAGAATCCCTCCTTTCCCCCCACCGACTCTTCATGACTATACGTGGTGAGGGACAAGTTATTAAATAGTCCTAGCACATGAACCAAATCTGAAACGCTTTTGGACACTATCAGTCATTAGCTGTACATTTTCAATGACCGGCTTTGCCATTGTGCTTGAATATATTTAGGAGGGGAAATGGGAAGCAGGGAACGAAAGGAGAAAAAAATTCAAGTATGGTGGGGTCACAATTGCTTAGGGTCTTTGTGGGACACCCTGTGACGTGCAAGCTGCAGATTCTATAAACTAATTACTGTACCCATTTAACAGAGCAATGAGTTCACAATATCGCCCTCAGTCGTGTAAAGGAATCTTCACAGGTCTAATTTCAGGGTTAGTAGAAAGCTTTTTGAAATTAAAAAAGGGAGGACCCCCCCTTCCCCACCCAAAGCATCTAGCAACGTTTCCAAACTGCAACTAAAAATGTAACAAGTCACTTCCTGTTTTAATATCCGTAAAGATTTAGAAAATCCTTTTCTAGGCTAGAATTTGAGCTGCCATATCTGAGTATAGAACATGTTTTGATAGCAGCCAACTGAAGCCTTTGGTGAAAACCCTGACATGACAATTTACTGCACGTCTCTCCAAAGCCATAACTAAGTTCTAAGTTCAGATCACTCTGCTGCTCTCTCAGCATTTCCCT